CGTCACACACTGAGCGAGCCGCCTGTTAAGGATGCTGTCAGCAAAGCAGTAAGGATTGTGCTAAGTGGCTAATGGGCATGTAGCTACTTCCATGTTTCAGATGATACGTCATGTTTGTAGATGACCAATGAAGATGTGGCCACTTCCTGTGTCTATCCTTTCAAAGTAAATTCCCTCATGGTCCAACCATATAGGTTTTCATTTATATTGACAAGGCGCAGCTCCTAATAGAGTTTCACAGCTTCGTTTTTTTTCTTCTGTGACCAAGTGACCAATGAAATCTTGCCGACTAATGACCTTTCTGGTTGACTAAGATTTGGTCGACAATTAGGGGACGGCCCCACTAGATATGAAAAGTCCATTGACCAAGCGACGATATGTAACAGGTTGAGAGAATGTTTTGGGTTGGAAACTGGTTCTCACACTAATTTCTGACCAGCTGAATCCTGGGGTATCCGTAACACCACAAGACATATATAGCAATCATTCATATATGTGTCTCTGTGGCAATGACAACGCAAATATCGGACATCTGTGACCATCTAGGTACCTGTATGTATGTCTACCTTATAATACACATGTATTACACACATCATTACACATGATGTTAAACTATTCGAGTATGACAAGTACAAGTGATGTTAAAAGTGTAGATGTTTCCTTTATTATTTCAGCATTTGACCATATATGATGTTTCCATGGCACAATCCAGTTAAGAGCTTACTAATTATTTGATACAACTCCTTCAAGCTACAAAGAAAAGGCAGTCTGTAAGACCATCTGCTCATGGTTGCTTATTTGAAGTGCCATATTTACACATAAGTTTGTTTCATTTTTAGAGGACTATTTTGGTGGAAAAGCTCCCAGGCTGTTTGCTTCCATCACAACACTGTCACAGCTTCATGGAACGGAGTGCAGTGCCTTTAAAGGGAAAGGAAAGGGGATGTTTGATCAAAGCCATGTCACCACCCGTTGTGTTTACACCATGTAGTGCTGACCGGATCCGTGTCAGGCTCCACTAATTCATGGAAACAGAGACACATGACAAGGGAGTCTATCTATGGTACTTCCAAAAAAAGGGCAGGAATCCACAACCAGGAAAATGCATATGATATATACTTAAATAGAAAAAATGCTCTTTTTTTTGATAAAACACTGTAATATTATTGTAAGGTCATAAAATAAAGTGTGTGTCCACCAGATTTTAATTCTCCATGGCATTAATAGAGTATTTCTAGAAGATCCCTAAAGGAGAGTTCACTTTATTTTTTTTCTATCTGACATTTGCAAAGTATATCTCAGTCAGGGTCTTTTGTAAATTCTTCCATTGCCTTGACTGTGCAGTGCAAGCCAGAAAATCAATATAAAGTTTTACACCTTATATTCCAGAGGGGACTTAGTGTAAGGTTTATTCATTTCAGATCTATTACTATTCCTACACATCACATGTATTCCAGCAGGGACTTGTAAAGTTATTAAAGTGATAATGTGTTCATTTATGTTATGGTGTTCATCATCTCTTTTCATATGTACTGTGATAATCTGGTTACTACAGAGACTTCTGGTTAATGGATTTATAGTTGTACTTTGTTGGAGTGGTGGGAGTTTGTGTCCAGTGTGAAATCAAATGTCAATGTTCCAGATTTCTTATCCGAGAATGACTTTGGTACAAGTTAAAATCGCCTATTAGAATATTACTTGAGTGAATGTCTTAACGTAGGGCGGCACAGTGGTGTAGTGGTGAGCACTGTCACCTCACAGCAAGAGGGTTCCTGGTTCAATCCCAGGAGGGAGCCCTTCTGTTCCCCCCATGTCTGCGTGGGTTTTCTCAGGGTACTCCGGCTTCCTCCCACAGTCCAAAGACATGCAGGTTAACTAGTGAATCTAAATTGCCTGTAGCTGTGAATGTGAGTGCGAATGGTTGTCTGTCTCTATGTGTCAGCCCTGCGATAGTCAGGTGATCTGTCCAGGGTGTACCCTGCCTCTCGCACAGTGTCAGCTGGGATAGACTCCTGCACCCCCGCCAGTGCCACCCGCAAGAGGATAAGTGATTATGAAAATGGATGGATGGATGTCTTAACATATCTGATATTTACTGTAAGTATCAAAAGTAATTTACTATATTAGATGCAATTAAGTATTGAAAGTAAAGTACAAGTATATAAAAGATTATTATATAAGATATGTTTATAAAAGAAGCAACCAGTCAGAATTTGAAGATTTATAGTTACTTCGTCGTAACATGCAGACTATCAAGGGTTACTGCTGTATGAGCGCAGTGCAAAGTGGTGGCAATGAGCTAGCCAGTGAGACACAGACATGCACCAAAATGCGCTCACAGCAAGACCAGCTTACTGCAACAAATGACAGAGAAGCGCAGAGGTAGCGTGACTTCATTCTCTGCTCAAGACGCCATCACTCCACTTTTTCTTTACATAACAAATGGTGGTTTTCTGCCATATTAATGGTCAGACTGTCTTATACAGAACCTTTAAGGATGTGATGTATGTCATGTGACAGGCCTATGTTATGTAATGTTACTTTAGTCACCAACATACTTATTTTACCACCCGGTCTCACTCAAAAGTAGTTGAAATGTGGTGCTTGGGCAGTGACTGAAAAAAAACGTCCTTTGACATCTGCATGTTATGCAGCTGGTCGCATTATATTTTAATGGCGCCCAGTGGCGTAAGGGGGAAACGCGGTGGGACAAGAACGAAAGTTATGGCGGCAAAAGTCTGAGTAGTGTAAGGAGTGGTGGATGGGTCCAACAACCACTGACTTTCACCCGGGAGGGCAGAATGTCACACAGAATTTGGGAGTGGAGAGGATGGAATGGCCTGCCAGCAGTCCTGACCTCAGCCCCATTGAACACTTGTGGGATCAGCTTTGGTGTGCTGTTCATGCCAGAGTAACCAACACAACCACGTTGGCTGACTTGCGACAAATGCTGGTTGAAGAATGGGATGCCATCCCACCCCACAGCAGTGTGTGATCAGCATAAGGAGGTGATGCCAGGCTGTTGTGGCTGTGTATGGTTCTTCCACACACTATTGAGGCTCCTCTTTGTTAAATGAATAAAATGTTAAATTGCCTATATGTCTTGTTTCTTCAGACCTCAATCATCCAGTCCACCAAACAACACCAAACAAGAGTCAACAGCGAAAAACAGCTGTTTGGCATTGGCAGAGAAGATTTGGCAAATTTTTTATGGGCACAACCCACATACTCAGCTCTGCTGCTCATCCCACAAATGCATGTTCCTTACAAATGTGGCACCATTTAAATGGGAAATAAAGAGGCTTTGCAACAGTATAAGATTTATAGCCAAGAAGCGTTGTTACAAAAAATAAAAAATCTACCAAACACACATTTTCTTACTTTTTGTGCTTAGTTTACAGAGAAAATAGTGGTTTACTGTTATATTAATGGTCTAAGTGTTTTATACAGAACCTTTAACTATGTGACACACGTCATGTGACACAGGCTTATGTCACCAACATACTTATTCTTAGCCAAACCATGATGTTTTTTAAAACCTAACCATGTAGTATCAGCGCCTAAGCCGAATGAAAGTGCTCTTAATGAGTGCATTTACATGGACAGTTTAATTCCCTTTTCATTCGGAATGAAAGTTCATTCCTATTAAAAGTGATCTTGTAAACACCTAATTCAGATTGAAAATGGCCAATGCGATTGAAAATTCAATCCGATGTAAAAGGCTGGAATATTCCGTTTCTAATTCCGAATGAAAGAATTTCTCGCATTTGTATACACTTATTCCGGTCTTTCTGTGCATGCTCGTTTCCTTGCGTATATAGCGCGCATAGCAACGGGCTGAGATAGAGCAGTCAGACTCTTGCACTCACCGGTTTCCATTCGCCAAAGCACGGTCTTCTATCTACTTTCTTAGACCTTCTACCTCCCTTCTCCTCCTCAACAGACGAAGCATTAGCAGAACAAGGCTGTTGTCGTACTGCTGCTTCAAGAAAATAAGCAAAACAAGCCCGAAAAAGGCACTAAGAACGGCGTCGTGAAGCATCTTGTTATCCGGAGCGAGGACTACAGTGTTTTCTTCCGGTAAACGTAAACACGTAACATCCGCCCCCTATCCAATCAGAAACCTTGCGCAGACCCGAATACAGGCGATTAAACTGATCTCCCGTGTAAACCCTCATTCGGAATGAATATTTCCCATGTAAATTACATGGAAAGACTTTAATTCTGAATGAATGAGAAGCCATCATGTAACCGCACCCATTGACAACAGACATTTAATGGGCTTATGATGGCGTTTACAACCTACTATGTAGTAGGACCCTGCTAACCAATATCTATGAGGCTGATAACCACTATTGATACTAGTTTAATTGAGCGATAACATTTGAAATGGGTTATAATTTAGTCTGACAAGGTGGAACTTGAAGAGTAAAGTTTGTGCTCACCTCCTTTAAATTCCCTCTCAAAATGGTCACTTTTTAAGAAATAGTCTCAATGTAATTATAGTTATTTATTTTTATGGCAAGAAACTACAAACTAACAGCGACTGGCAGAGTTTAATTTTGCCTGTAAAATAATCTAAGCATATTTTGAGTATTTATAATTAGTAGAAGTTGATTACATTTCTATGGGGACTTGGATAAATCCAGCAAATGTGCAAAAAAAGTATGTAATATTTCACTGATTTTAAACAAACGTATTTTTAGGGACAAATATTAATGCGTAACAAAACTGACTCAGATATCAAATCCACTTATTTGTGTAATAATCACATGAAATGCACCACACTGAAGGAACACGAGAAATGAAGGGGCAGTACAATGTCATGTTTGTCCCGTAGGAGGATGCCTGTGTCGGGACGCAGTACAGTAGCACTATATCATGGACCAGAGGTATACGCCCGTATCAACTGTAGAGGTCCCCATTTTACCGGCTGCTACAGGCACACCTTTGTTGCACCTCCTCTTTTGATTTCCACGCAGTGGGCCACAGGGCAGGACGGAAAGAGAGAGGCTGCGTGTGGACGCGTGTACACCAGGGGAAACACGCCGCACACGAACTGAGGGTGAGCTCAAGGAGAAGTCGCTGCTGCCTGGTTGATCAGTGTAAACCCGGCGCAGAAGATGCTGCTGCGCTTGAATGAATGAGAATGCTGACGCTGTATGCTGCGCGGCGCGCTGGAGACATGCGGTACTCTTCACTCCTCCGTCAGGTCACACTGTAGTTAGTGTAAAGTCGATCCAGTCAGTCACACAGACATCCTACATACTCTCTCCTCTCCTGCTGGGATTTGTCCTTGCTGGATGCCGGGATGCCTGCTTCTCCTCTCGTCACACTGTTCTTAGGTAAGTTCAATGCACGCTCCCGGCTGCAGTTGGGATCACAGATTTTATGCTGAGGAATCATGAGAGAGGTGTGTGTGCGTGTGTGCATGTGTGTGTGTGGACTCTCAGACAGGTTTTAAAATGTGCTTTTGGACACAAGTTTTGTGATATGAGTTAAGTCTGTGTGCTGTATTGCTGTTTGCAAAGTACATCCTTTGGAAAAGTACTCTAGTCATCAGTTTTAGCGTTTATAGAAGACAGTTTTGGAGCTTAAAATGTAATGTAGAAAATATTGCAGCACTGGCATACTCATAAATCCATGCCATTTATTGTTATAGATAACGCTAAATCCAATATGGCAATTTTAAACCCACAATTGAGGATCACGTGTCCAAATGGCAATGTTTAAGAAATATAACCTATTGCAAAGGTCACTATAACCTGATTATGACTCCTGGTGGTGTTTTATCACAGGGATATTATAGAAATACCATAGTGATGTCATTGTTCTACTTTAAAGTTGCAGAAAAGGTAGGAGCGGTATTCTGCCATAGCCACTATGCTGTGTATATCATGATAGAAATATTATCGGAAGATGAATGGTTTACTTTGTGTTTACGAATGAAAAGTGTATTATTACTGGAAATATGCATCACGTAAAAATCTCGCTGTCATCCATGAACTTTAAGGTCCTGAAACCTCACGTGAAGCTGGTTGTTGAACATGGTAATTGTAGTATTTTACTTTATTTATTACTATAAAACTGGAGCAAGTGCTGACATTCATCGACAAATGTGCCTTCTGCATGAATGAATGGCACATTATGTTCAAGGACAGGCTTTTATTCTTCGGTTTTTAGGATTTTAGATGTGCGTGGTTTCTGGATGATTTAAGTTTTTCATCAAAACAGGGTCAAGGTGACTAGTTTGCAATGTGCCTGGTTGTAGAGCGTTTTTTTCCCTGCATTATTAGCTCTGTTTTTCCACTCACCAAATGACAAATGCATCGCCTAAAGTCTTGCATGTCAGTACATATTTTTAGTTTGGTGCAAAGGAAATGGAAATCTCTCCTCATATATAAAGAGGTTTTTTTCATCAGCTCTTCAAAGTTTACCCACACTTGTTTACTCTGACAAAGCACATCACATGAGTAGATCCATTGTGAAATGCACGTCGTTGGTTCCCACTGCCTGTCTGTGTGTTAGTCAGCATGCATCAGACACGTGTGAGCACATCCCAGCTCGGCACTCAGCCGTCGCAGCAGCACAGGGCCATGACATTACAATTAGTCCAGTTGTCCATGGGGTGATGGGAGCTTTCATTAGTTGCATTATAGGAGCGAGGTTCGACAGGCCATGGCATAACACAGCATATTCTACCTCATGGCACTGCCTCCTTTTCGCTCTGCAGCTGAAAACTTGTCCTCGCTTTTTGCCGCAAATTAAATGCAGCTGAATAAATCAGATGGAGCCACAATTAGATTTTCGTTCTTGATGAAAACAGTTGTACGTCTCTCTCAGAGAGTGTAGCTACAAAGCTCCACATATTCGTTAACTGACAACATGTTTGAGGGTGGTCTGCGTTCTGAGGAGTGCTGACTTCACCTCAGGATTAAAGTACAGCTCACACCCAAGCTATGAAGATTTCCAAGGCATGCTGTGCTGGAAGCTATTATCATCCAACAACTGCCTGTTCGTGTGACCTTGAAATGAAGATAATACAGTGTCCTAGGCCAGTATCAAACAATTAAAAGCCTTTTTTACAGGATAATTTTTCATCCGTCATTCAAGCTGGAAAAAAACTAGCCTGATGAAAATGAATTGTTTTCCTAATTGTCAGAGGCTGAGTGAATGGCGATTGAGGATTTATGTGCCAAGGGGATGATGAGGAAATGAGGCCTTTTGTGTCCTTCGGGTTGGACATATACTCTCCAGCTCTTCCCTTGGACTTTTCTCCTTCACCCACTTGCTTTTTGGTCCACACTTTATTTTTAGTACACTTTTTATGTGACCTTTATGATACTCATTTTTTGTGACTCCTGCCTGGTGCAGTATAGAGAAATATCACAGATATCTTCAAAGATTAGCCAGAGCCTCCCTGTGTCATCTGACATGCACGGCATTTTGGGAACCCTCACTGCAACCCAGTCGCCAGAAAAAATGTTGGCAGTGTGCATTTTTGCGAACTACGGATAAGTTACATTTGCAGGTTATCATGAAGCAGATACATTGAAACTTAATGTTATGGAAGCGATCATGTTTGGGCTTAAAATACATGGTTTTAGGGGCGCAGTCCCAGCTGGAAATGCGGCAATGTCTCAGTAAAACAATACTTTTTGTGCCACTTTCCCTGCAGGAAAAGCAGCGCCATTACTGTAAGAAACACCTGATTTTCATGGCACTATTCCTGCTGGAAAAATAGTGATGGGTTGTGACAAAATACCCTCGTTTGGAGCCTTAAAAGCTACTGGAAACGCAGCAATGAGTTGCTAAATCACAACCGATTTTGTTGTGTGTTGCTCTTCAACAGTGGTCTGCAGCTTGGCAGCATGGTCAGTTCATTTAACGTCATTTTAGAAATGTTGACATGATATGTATGAAGCGTAAAAATGTAACATATTTAGTGTTTGCAGAAATGTACAATGCCAACTTTTTTTTTTTTTTTTTTTTTTTTTTTTTGGTTGACTGGGCTTTTCACTCGGAGAACGCAGACCCCCACCAAGGCTACATGCCCTATCTTGCAACGTTAACGAGATAGAAAAATAATTTGTGTATCTGCCCTGTGATTTGGATCCGCACCAAAATGTAATGGGTTCTTCTTTGGCCCATGCTACACTCTTCCACCAAGTTTCATGAAAATCGGACAAGTAGTTTTTCTGTAATCCTGCTGAGAAACAGACAAACAACAAACCGGAACGAAAACATAACCTCCTTGGCGGAGGTAATGAGTTAAGCCATATCTGTCCCCTCGTCTCTATATATAGAGGAGATCACCAGCGGCAGGCGAAAGGATTTGTCAAGTGTGGAGATGACAGAAGTCTCCAGTGCCAGAGGTTAGGATGTGACATCTTGCAGGGCTCTGGCCTCAAATCTCTGGCAGCCGCCCTCCCTCATCTCCCCTTCATCCCTCTCTTTTTTCTTCGTGCCTCCTCTTTCCGCCTCTGCTGCGTGTCTCATAGGTGACTTTGACAGTCAAGAGACTCAAATAGGTAGATAGCTAGATTTGTTGTTGTTCTGTTGGATGAGGGAGTAGAGTGTCAGCGGACTTCACTCCTCCTCCTCCTCCTCCTCCTCCTCCTCCTCTCTCTCTCTCTCTGTCTCTCTGTGATGCACATGCCATCTCTTCTTTGTATCAGTCCAGATTCACCTTGGGTCTCCCTGCGTGCTTGCCAACATCTCGCTCGCTGCCCGTCATGTCAGACACTCTAAGTTAGTCAGAGCAGAGCACTGTCACATGTCATGTGCAACTTACACTCACAAGACACTATGAATACATCCAAGGTAAAGGGTTGTTTCACCCAAATTATAGAAAGCACATTTTCTCGTATACTTTGCGTGGCAAAACCATGCAGTTTTTTTTCTTTCATATGTTTTTGTGCAGGTTTGAGATTTTCATGTCTGAGAGTTCAGCCAATAGGAATGACTGCAATTACCAACCCAATTGCCAGAATAAATGTTGGCATTGTACGTTTCTGCAAACTACCAACACATTCTCACTCCGACCTCGTCACATATTGACGTTTGCTCATGGACTTTCCACGTCCACATGTCAAGTCTCAAATTCTGCCTGTTACATCCATTGTTGTCTTTTAAAATACACTTCAGTTTTCACAGGAAATTTAACGTTTACATACCGTCTCTTTCAAATAAACGCACTACGTCAGTACAACACCACAAATTGACTTTTTTTTCCTTCAACAACAAACACACATGGTTGGGTTTAGGCAAGAAAAGCACATTGTTAGGTTGAGGAAAAAAGGGTGAAGGTCAGTGTTTGTTGGACCCATCCACCACCACTCCCGTCCGCCCCATTTGTGCTTTCACCACCATAACTTTAGTCCATGTCCTGCCGGGTTTCCCCCTGACGCTGCCGGGTGCCGTTAAACTGTAACGACAACTGGTCGCGTATCATATCATCAGACATTAAGGGATGCCTTTTTTTTGTTGGTTTCTGACGCTGCAAGTCACTGCCCAAGCACCAGATTTTGACAACTTAAGAGTGAGACCGGGCTCAAAGTACAGACACATCACATTTGTACCTTATTAGTACAAGTCACATGGTAATGGTTAGGAAAACATCATGTTTTGGCTTAAAATACCTGCTTTGGTGGCACTATCCCAGATGGAAACATAGCAGTGTCATACTAAAAAGACAAGTATCCCCGCTGGAAACTCAGTGAGAAGTCACCAAAAAACACCCACATTTTGTGGCTATTTGTACGCATAAAAATGTATAGATAGTCAGTCTTTGGCTTCTCTCAAAACATCAAGGGTACAGACAGACACATAACACAATACGCCATTAAAATACAATTAATATATATATGATACAATAATACAAATAGGCAGGTAGGAGCAATAAGTCATAAAAATAGTAGTGTTCCCCGATACAGTCGTTCTGTGTTCATTAACTGTATAGCATAGGGAATAAAGCACTTCTTATGTTCCGGCTGGTTCTTGGGACCCTAAATTGACACCCACATGGTAGCAGCTCAGACTCTGAGTGTAATGGATGTAAGGCATCAGCAATTATGTTTGGCCTTCCTGCGTAGAGCACTGTCATATATAGTGCTGAGTTGTTTCTCTTGCTTTGTCTCGAAGGGCGAGAAGAAATTCTATGGAGTATGTGATGAGTGGAGGGATTTGCTGTTGCCCAGTGACTCCATTGTTCCCGATTGTTGCAAAATTGCTGCCCCTGAATGGTCAACCAAACATCTGTTGACCAGAAAGGTCATTAGTCAGCTAGATTTTATTGGTCGCTTAGTCACAGAAAAAAAAAAGTGAAACTCTATTAGGAGCTGCG